TAAAAGAGAAAACAGTGTCAATGGGTTTTGTGTACAGTGCATGTGTGTTCCTTTTTTTATTTAGTGAAAAGGTATTTTGCTCCTGTTTTGTGTGTGTGTGTGTGTGTGTGTGTGTGTGTGTGTGTGTGTGTGTGTGTGTACGCTCTCTGACCTCGTTCTCTCAGGTTGCGAAATAGTTTGGAGGATCCTCTCCACACGGGAGGAGTGTCTGATAGGATCTTCTCCAGCTCCTTACAGACACATACAAACACACAATAAAAAGGTAAGATAAACTCTAAAAACACAGACCTCTAACTTCAAACTTCAACTTTTACACACACCGATCCAGCGCAAACAGGAAAGGTTAGCATGCCGTGGAAAGAAGGGAAAAAAAAGCTTGGCAGGCCAACTATTTTAGTATTGTTATTACTGTGGTATTTTATATGACTTCTATAGAAAGGAATGTATGTATATATATATTTTTTAATTGACACAAAGACTGCTTTGAAGAAAGAAAAAATAAAGTACCAAAAGTAGCCTGTGGAGGTTTTGACCATTTGTGGTGCTGTGAATTAGGGTTTGAGTGGAGTCTGCATTTTTCTTAGATTTCACACTCCAGCAGCACAAGAATTTCCTAATGGATTCTTAAAAAGAAGTTACAACACTTAACAAAAATGTAAAAACCTCCAAAAGTTGATTCTGTTCATCTGGACGTAGCGTTTTCAGTGGGAGAAACGTTTCGTCACTCATCCAAGTTCTTCAGTCTCAGCTGACTGCAGGTTTCCCCAATCCCCAGTTCATTTGCATAATGACCGAAACCAACCCACTGAAGGGACAATGGGAGGTCAGTTCCTTCATCTTAATTATGCAAATTCTCATGACCATTGATCAACAACCACTGATCGAAGCCCACTGATCAATGGCCACCAGTACCATTCACAGAGAGTTGGGGAATGGCTGCAATCACAGCATTGTAAGATGGTGAAAGATGTACCCTTAGGCCCCCCTCCATTGAAAGAGTGTCCACTGGCCTGTAGGTGTGAATAGACTGCAGAGTCCTGGCCTGACGAGGTAGCTCTTCTATGTTGTGCCATCCGCTTTGCCAGAAGTTGTTTGGTTTCCCCGATGTATAAATCCTGGCAATCGTCCTGGCACTTAACAGCGTACACTATGTTACTGTGTTTGTGTCGGGGGACCCGATCCTTGGGGTGGACCAATTTTTGGCGCAGTGTGTTTTGGGGTTCAAAAGTCACAGAAACACAGTGTTTAGAAAAAAAAAAACAGAATCAACTTTTGGAGATTTACTTACCTGGATGATTGAGCATTCATCAAAAGAATGTAAAAATTACTTGTGTCTAAAATCACTGTTTAAATGTTCAAATCCTTTTCAAAATCTATTTTATGGACCGCAATTTTTGTAAACTGTGGTCTGATTTTACGTTAAACAAAAGATTAAACAAGTTATGCTTCAGAATGTAGCCATCTTGTTATTAATAAGATACTTTATTACGGGCATGTGTAGCATCCTCAGGTTCCCTTTCAGATTTGATGGATGTTATCAAATTTAAAAAATTAGGATCACAATAATGCAACCCTTCAACGCAAGACTTTTAAAAAGTGGCTGATTTTATATACAGTTTATATGAATAAAACTTAATGTAAACTGTGTCACAAACTGGCTCAAAGAAGGTGAGAAAGAGGGATTTCACACAAGAAGCTCATGTAGATATAAAATAATTTATTATACATAACCTAACCGAGACACAAAGATTGCTAATAAGTTGATGTCAGGTGGAGTGGAAGAGAGAGACTGAGTGGTTCACCTGGGCCGGCTTTTATAGCCCGCAAGACACAGGAGACCTGCATTAAGTGACCATTGTCCAGTGCCAGCCAAACAGCAAGCCATAGCTTTCATGAGTGTGGGAGGGTGTGCAACATGAAAACTGCACAGGGTACTGAGATTATAACCAGGTGAGTACTGATGTGGCGATATCCTGTATTTTCACATTCAATGGTATGATCTACAGTTTAAATAAAGCTAAAGATCCCTATTTGTGCTGTATGAAATTTTCAGAGCCTCAGTATTTTGCATACAGTATTTCTTTAATGCACTTACATTTTTACATTTGGATTTTAAATTGGTAAACCTGATTATTGCTGAACTTAGAGATAATCTGCAATACATACGTATGAGGAATCATGACATTTGTATGCAGAAACTCATGACAAATACTAGGAAAATAGGTTTTAAACTTTGCAGTGTATACTGATTTAGATGTAACATGCAACAGATGTCTGTCTGCAATATAGAGGAGCACGAAAAACAGTTAGAGTGTGTTTCCCACCTGTTTTGTCAGGGACCTCCAGGGCCTCTTGCCTGCCAGGGAAACGAGACAAAAGAGAAGAGAAGAAGAAGGGAAAGAGGAGAAGAGAGTTTGGGTGGGCTCAGTCAGATAGCATCTGTGTGATCTAGAAATGGGTCTTAATGTGCCAGGTACAGTCACAACACACACACACACAGGCACACTCATTTTATATACACTGTCATCATCACAGGCCCATTTGTACCATCTCAAGTGCCCTGTGCTTGTCTTTGTAGTATGTGGAATGTCCCTGTAAAAGCACATACTACTTTTGTTCTGTTTTATACAACAAAGTTCATCTAATTCAACTTCAAAGGGGCCATTCGAGGATGTCAGCTGCCGAGAGGGCATGTGCGGCTGTATCGTATGTCAGCGAGCCAAGGCTAGATGTAAACACACACATACAGGTGCACAGTTTGCACGCAACGCAATTATATATCCATTAAATAAATAAATAGCAGCTTTTTGTTTGTGATAACTTCCACATGTGAAGAGATACTTAAAGCAGTGGTCGCACAGGAAAATTTTAAGATGATTCTCCAGATTAGATATTTGCAGGGTAAGAGAAAGGGTACATGAGAGCAAATGGAATGTGTGTGTCTGACTAACATTAACCACAGACTAAACAATAGCTTTAAAGCCACCTGCTTTGAAGAAGCCAGCCAGGGCTAATCTGTTACAAATGACAGTGGGCCAACAGAAATTACAAAGATGTGTTTTAAAACCATATTTTTAAAGTTTTTTAAGAGATGGCAAAAAATTGTATACCTGGCACTGAAATACATATGTAATATTTAAAATCAACCACCAAACAGGGATCAGTAAACATGAGGTATTCACTGTCAATTAAATTATAAAAACAAAGGGTTCAAGTATCCAATCAAATCTTGCTTAAATTTAAATGTAATTTATATCTTAAATTCTTGAAGTATAAATTAGCTTTTCCCCGTCCTACACTATAGACTTCCTATCATTTTATGTTTCTCCATGAATCCCAGGAACCTCTGAGGTTGCTATTTTACCTTATCAAACACTATGTGTACTTAAGAGCCATTTGAAGAAACGATTTGTAAGGCAGTCATTTGTCTTACTTTTTATATTTACAATTTCTCATTGAAAAGAGAGAGGCGCTGCCATCTAGGCTTGTGTAGAGTAGCTGCATAAGACTTTAGACCCAGCTGGCATGTTCATTCATTAAAAATGAATGATTCATTTAATCGACTTGTACTTCTAGCACCGATTAGCAAGAGCAGCAACATTTAAGTCAATTAATCATGTGCATAACTAAATTAAAATGTTTCAAAATATGACAGAAAGCCTCTTTAGATGTCAGTGTTAGCTATTACAAAAAGGTGGAACGCTGCTTTTAAATAGCAGACCTACTGATTGGTGGATAACTTTCTGTGAACATTCAAACTCAGCTGTTCAATCTAACCTTTAACTGACAAGTCTTTAAGTCTGTCTGTTATAGATTTTCTTTAAAACATTTAATTATCCTTGCAGCTGAATTGCAAAGCACTTTGAGTTGTATTTATATAAATAAAAGTTTTTAATGGCAAAAGAAGCATAGAAGTTTACAGTGGTGACTGATTTTAGCATTTTTTCTGCACATTTTCCATCTTTATTTTTAGCACTCTGACAGAACTAATTTATTTGTGGACAACCAGCTAGCCCTGCCCCCTTCCTGTGTTTTCCCTACGGGAAGACTCACTGGCCAGCTTGTTTGCTCAGTCTCGGCCGTGGTTGGACAGATTCCAACTCCACCATTTTGGACTGCATGAGTAGACCTTGTTTTGCACCAGAGATCTGGAAGCCACCCTAACCTGAACCAGGTGGACAAATGGTTCATGTGCCACTATGCAGAGTTCACTGAGACTGCAGAGCAGAACCAGGTCTACCAGCTACAGTCCAAGACCATGGAGTTAATAATATTCAATAATAGGATATAGGAGAGACTGTGAAGATACAGCTGATGATATTGTTTGGTTATGTGTTTCATAGAAATAGCCAGCAGCACGATGGTTTAGTGGTGACCACTGCTGCCTCAGGACAATTTAGGTTCATGCTTAACACCCCTGTAAAAGATATTCTCAAGACATTCAGTTCTTGGTTAAATAAACTTCCCTCCTCCTTGGATCTTGGTTGAGGAGGGGAGAAATTTACAAACTGCATTTTCTGGTAGTTCCCCTGTGAAAGCAATCCTTTGCAGTGCTGAGATATATACACGTCCCATCAAAAGCAGAATATAAATTTGTGTTAAATGATTGATTTAAATGAAGCAGTCAAGTACTCTGGGTACATGTCATATATGCAGATTAAGCAGATAAAATAAGCCCCAAATATTTTTGTCTTAAGGAGACATAATTTTGAGAACAACAGAAAACAAGCTATTTTTTCATACGTACTTCTCGGTTCACTCATGGTAACCGACTCGATGAAGTTTTGTGGGGTCATGTACAGCTGTCCTTCATACTCCACTGAGCTGAACAAGCGGAAACGATGTTCATGAGAAGACATGTACACATCTCCATCCTCAAAGTCAAATTGACGTGCCTGCAGAGAAAACCCATAATAAAGAAAAGAAAAACAACAAAACAAAGTATATGCATTCCACTTATACTGTTAAATAACTATCCTAATTCTCATATTAAGTGATTAAAATCAGGGATAAGCAATTAATGTTCCACTTGTGTCACAGTGGACATAATGTGAATGCGACCTGCGACAGATTTCTGTGCACACAAAGCAATTTCTATAATGAGGAAAATCATCTATTCTTGGCATCAACCCTCTCCATTTAGCTCCCTGTGGTTATAAATAGAGCGAGCGCCGCTGGCACAGTGCAGTAATGGGAAAATGGGCACACATGCACAAAAATACTTTGTCACTACTTTCTACTTGATTAGCATCTGTCTCTCACTCTCTCTCTCGCTCTCTGCAAGCAGCCAGTGCTTCAACTTGATTAGCTGCAGAGTAGGAGAGCTTCTACACCAACCGACTGTACTGCGTGAAACTGTATAATTAACAGAGAGGCTTCCATATTTAAACCTGTTTAGCTGCAGGCCCCAGCACACAGTGGTTTCGGTTCCGCTCAGCTAACATGCTAATGAGCATACAGATTCATTCATAAAGCTTTGATGATGCCTGCACCAAGGGGGGCTTTTGAAAGCGTGAATTGGAGATCAGTGCTTGGCTTCATGGGAATGCACCCCACTCAAAAGTAAGAGCATAGGCACCCATGGCTTTAACTCTCACTAATGAATGAAGTTTAGAAAGTTTTGCAAAGGCAGCTAGGTTCACATGCCATGCTGCACAACATGAAAAAGAAATGTAAGAAAAACCAATTAAATTGCAGAGATTAGAAAGTAGATTCAGTGTGGCTCACTGCTTTGTGTCTTGACTACAACTAAAACTTTCTGTTGTCTTTTCACAACTGCTCAGCAGATGCTCCAGGTGTTTTCCCCTCGGGCAACGTTGTGTGTTCCCTTCGCAGCTGCAGCTCTGTAACCCTTCTGCTCAGTTTCACGCTTAAAACTGTCACTGTCTGCTAAACTTTTGGATGAATAATGATGATATTTTATCCAAAAATCCCAGTATCAATTCTGCTTATAGGTGTGATTCTTCATCAGTTGACTTATTGCTCCATAAACATTTTTTTGAACGAAAAAAGTGGCTTTTGCAGGTCAACAACTATTTTGTTCTCTCTGAGTCTAAACACAGTGAAGCAACAATACAAATGAAAGCATAGGACTGTTTGCACATGTGGAAAAGCACCACTACCATTATTATTTTAATGTCACTATTCTGCACCATTCTGTCATTTACAGTACCATTTAGGGTACATAAACCCTTTTATATATAAGGTGTATTACCACTCCAGGTTGCTGGGCTCCCTCCCATGTGTGGTTAACTATTAGTGTGTGCTGCTCTGCTTTGGTGCCTGAACCTGTTCTTTGTCGTCCAATTGCCATCTGTGATTGGTCCATCCCAGTCTCCAGCTACAACCACAACACGGCTGATTATGGCAACTGTTTCACAAGTCAAAGCTTGTAATTTGTAGCAGCTGTGATTTCAAGTGAGCAGCCTGACCTGTGCCTCTTTCTGGTTTGTTCTTAAATTTCAGGTTACTTCTTGTCTTTTACCTTTGTAAAAGATAGACTGTATTTCAACAGGCTTTGTGTACCCTTGGATGGTTATGTACTTGCTTGTAATTTTGGGGTCTATATTTGTTTGTTTTTCTCCATCTGAGACACCTTCAAGGCACTTACAGCCAGGCAGGAAACACTGTAACACATTACACTGGTAGGAGCTTATTTTGTCAGATACAATGTAATAGGTGTGCAGCTTCCTTTTCTAGTTTATATATTCTCCTATATTTAGGAGGGTTTTAATTTCTTTCTTATGACCTAGAAAACTCAGGCTTAGCATTTAAACTTTTGCTAGAAGTCATTTTTTATATTAATTGGTTATTTTAAATAGACATTGGTTTTGTAAAGGGGTAATCCACCAGTTTTACACGTATTAACTTTGTCTGCAGGTATACTTCTTCATATGTTAAAAAATACTATCTCAAACATTCTTTGATAAACCCTCTGTGCCACCAGTGAACTCACCCTTACATTTCTGAACCCTTTAAGAGCCAAATGATCGTGTGAACATATATCCCATACCCATTCAGCACAAGTCTCAACTGCCCCATATTTTTCTCTGCCTCTGTGGCTTTCTTTTACCAGAATAGCTGCAGTGAGGTTCAGTCACTACAGATGAGTCATCCAACTTTTTGAGGCAAATTATTCAGATTCCATTTCCTTCCCCAGTAAAGTAAAATTTATGTCTGCATCTTCTAAAATGCCCTCCTTCCCCACCCCACACCCCCAACTCCCAAAACACTAAAAAAAACTGCGTTTTCGTCTGAAAATGCTCCACATCCACACTAGCGTTTTCAGCTGTTTTCACAGAGTTGTGCGTCCACATTGAAACGGCCGAAAACACTTACGTTCCAGTACTGAGCGTGTGTGAAGCGCAAGAAGATTCGTCCTGCCTCATTTCTGTCAGCCGTTTATTTACTTTGAATCGTTGAAACGTGGCGGCAAAAGGTTGAGGAAAAGCAACGAGTTTTTTAAATGGACTCACAATGAGGTGACGTTGTTGCTGCGAGTAACACAAAAGTGCAAAGTTGCAAAAGCGAGTAAGAATTAAATAATTTGAAGAAAAGCTATCTGGAGCATGTACAAACTGATATTAATCTTTAATAGGGCTGTCAAAATTGAGAGCAAACAAAACAACTGCTGTATAATGCCCTCCGCTATCATTGTTTAATTGGTCACATGATGCATCACATGACTAAAATGTGTCACCCTTCTAGAAAGTCTCCGTTTTCCCTGTCCACACTGCGACGCAAACGCATCGTCTTCAAATGTATTCGTTTTCGAGAGCGTTTTCAAATTGATGCGTTTTTCCTTGGGGAAAACGCCATCTCAGGCTACGTCCACACGTACCCGGGTATTTTTGAACACGCAGATTTTTCTATGCGTTTGCACCTTTCGTCCACACGTAAACTGCGTTTTCGGTCACTGAAAACGGAGATTTCTAAAAATGCCTGCCATGGTGGATATTTTCGAAAACTCAGTTTTTGCATTTACTGTGGACGAGAAAAACTGAGAAAACGCAGCGTCAAAGGTGTGCGCCTTTTTGATGTCACACTGTGCGCCACGTTATTGTTTCGGTGCAATGAATTTCTACAATACTGTTACTGTTAATTGTACTGTCTGCAGTGTTTAAATGCTTACACATACACACACAGTTTTTGTTCTTCCACACATACGACTTGGTTCTGCTTCTACGCCCCAGCTTTGTTTACTATTTCCTACCGAGGCTTCTAGACTTCTGATTGGCCAACATTTCTACACGGTTAGGAATATATCGCCACCTGTTGCTTTGGCATGTTCCTAGCAGTGTTTTCCTTCATTTCTGCGTTTATGTGTGGACGGGATTATTTTTTAAAACGAAAACGGAAAATCTCCGTTTTCAAAAATACCCGTGTACGTGTGGACGTAGCCTCAGTGTGGACGGGAGGCCAAAACGGAGAGAAAATGATGCGTTTTCAAACGAAAACGCATTAGTGTGGACGTAGCCTAAAGAAGCAACATTGCTGGCTGAGAAGACATAATTTTACATTTGCAATCTGGATAGATATGCAAATGGTGCCACTGAGCTACTGTCCACTTCAATGAGCTACTAAATGCAGTTTGTATCTATAGCCAATTATGTGCAAAAGTCTTAAGCCACCCTCCATTTCTTTATATTTTGCTTCCAAGGAGCCAGGCTTTCCTTTATTTTTTTCAAAAGTTGTGAGCAGTTCTTCTCCAGATTTTCTGAAGGTCTTTTAATGCCTTTCTTTGCTTTTTCACTCTGCTTTTAAATTAATTTTCAGTCCAGGCCTTCTACCTGACCATTTTCAATTTTTTTTTTTTTTGTTGCATTAGAAGAGCACCTAACTTAAGGGATGAACCAGTATCGTGTTTGCACACAACAGACAACTTAGCAAAGAACCAATTTGTAGGAAAATTAAATAGTTGCAATGATTCATTGAAACATGCCAACATGGAAGCGTGGGATATAAGGCAAAAACAGAGTTTGTACATTCTCATAAGCTGGAAAGGCAATACTATCTTAGGCAAGCTTTCTGAGGGACATTTGAAAGCTTTTTTGGATATTGGTGGCTCCACTACATTAATAATATTCAGGTCTGGACTCTGGGGAGGCCAATCCATGACTGATGGTGTTTTACTGTGTGTTTTTCTATCAAGGTATGCTTCACTGGATTCACAGTGCATTTGTGATCATTGTCATGATGAATAAATGAAGCCATTGCCATTCAAATGCTTTCCAGATGATTTTAATACCTCACCCTTTTCTCCTTGTTTCTCTTCCTTAAGAATGGCTTCTTGACAGCCACCCTTCCATTAAGACCTTTTCTAATGGGGCTTTGGCAAGCAGTAGACAGATTATCGAGATACTAGATGCATCTCTCAGGTCTTGTGTCGGGTTTTTGGAAATGTTTTAATGTATGATTTGATTTGATTTGATTTGATTGATTAGCATTCAAATTCAAATCTCAGTGAAAATATCTGATATTTATTAAAAAATAAATATCAGATATTGTTCAACTTTTGTTGATAGTTTTTTTAGGCCTGCCATTTTAGGCCTGCTAAGGATGCACTGCATAAATAGTGAGATATACTTAGTTTTCTGCTAACAGGTCTTTGAGAATCACCTTTTGGTGCAAAAGTATAATTTTATGCCTGTTATACTTTGTTATCGTTGGTGCTTTTTAATATTTTCAATTAAAGTCATTATTCAATACATTGTTATTGTTAACCCTTTAAATCCCCGTAGAACTGGAACCGCGTAAGCTAGCGCAATAATTTGTTTTGCATATGAAACCGGAGGAGTTGTACTTACATCTTATGCCATCAGCTTGTCCTCGGTCACGGTTTCCTTCCACATAAAGCTTTGCAAAAATTGCATAAAAAGCGCTTGGAGGAACAAAAACATAATATTACAGAAACACGCTTTGCCGATCCGATCAGCTGTTCGTAACACTTCCCACAATGAAAAAGACGTCAACGCAAACTATCACATGTCCGCCATTTCCTGTCCAAAACCGGAAGTGACGTCATTTTGGCGGAAAATGTAGTTTTTTACTTGTAGGCCTTAAAAGCCTATACTGGTGTTTTTATAAGTCATGTTTGACTCTACTTTTCTGAATAGTTGCTGGGATGCTTAGAACTCGAATTGCACTGCTGGAAATAGTTTATTTTGATGCACATGCTGTTTTCTTTGCAAATTTGCATCATAGGATTGTTTTTGTTTTTCCTGCAGTATATAAAAATTGCTGTATCTCCAAAATAAAACTATGAAGACACTCAAAATAAATTTCCTGTGTGTAAACTATTTTTTGCAACTTTTTTGTATTTAAAGTTTTGAGGGATAAACCTCTTAAATTTCCCAAGTAGAAATATATGTAAAAAAAACAAAAACGATTTTCAATTTTTTTGTAGTTTATTGCACTTTTTTGCAATTAATGTAGATTACTATGGACTTAATGCATACATATTATTAAAATATGGGCTATAACAGTTGATTGATGTATAGCAACTTGAAATGCTCCCAAAAATGGCACTACAACATGTAAAAAAAATAATATATAAGCTCTGGCGGACTTGGTTCTATGTAGGTCTTAAAGGGTTAAATAAATATCGTCAAATAATCGAGATCTCAATTTCAGTGAAAATAATCGTGATTATCATTTTTGCCATAATCGAGCAGCCCTATTTTTGACTTCTGAAGCATGGCTAAAAGTCTTGATCATTAACTATGCAACAATTGCTAAACAAATGTAGATGATTTTGCCTGGCTAAAAATGGACTTTAAACAAAACTGTTCAACAAATCTTAAGGCAGGGAGTCTCTGTTATCTTACTTAACAGACATCCAAGGATATCATTTCAGCCCATTTGGAAAAAAAATATTTTATGTTCAGATAAACGAAATCCTGATTAGAAAAAATTCTCAAAACATTACTCTTATTAAAATCACCACCACAAAGTGTCATTTGAAGCATTGCATTCAATCCACACTGTAGTGTGCATGTATGGCTGTGTAATGGTGTATCTGTGCTGTTCTACCCTCACATTATAAAATTTGAGAAAAAGGAGATACAAACGCCTTTAGTTGAAACACTAGCAGAATATTAGCTATTTTATGGGGTGGCTGTAGCTCAGGTGGCAGAGCAGCCATTAATCAGAAGGTCGGTGGTTCGATCCCAGGCTGCCTCCTGGCTGCATGCCAAATATCCTTGGGCAAGATACTAACCCCATGTTTGCCTACTGGTGGTGGTCAGAGGGCCCGGTGGCGCCAGTGTCCGGCAGCCTCGCCTCTGTCAGTGCGCCCCAGGGCAGCTGTGGCTACAATGTAGCTTGCCATCGCCAGTGTGTGAATGTGTGTGTGAATGGGTGGATGACTGAATGTAGCGCTTTGGGGTCCTTAGGGACTAGAAAAGCGCTATACAAATGCAGGCCATTTTACCATTTATTAGCATAATGAAAAAGCTAATGAAAAATACAACACAACATATTTCTTTCATTATACTGTGGATATGCTGGATATTGTTTCCAAATAGACACATAGACACACTATCACATTTGCTGAAGTTTGCATTTCTGCAATGTGTAGTTACATTTCTGGGAAGGTGCATATACATTGTGGTTTATAGATTTAGATTAGATTTAATGTAGTACTGTAATGAAGGAGGCAGAGGTTTGTTAACATTGTCTCACTAGCAAGAAAATCCTAGGTTCAAACCCAGCCTATGGGCCTTTCTGTGTGGAGTTTGCAAGTCTAAAGTCATGCTTAGGATTAACTGGTTATTCTAAACTGACCACCTGAATGCGGCTGTCTGGCTCTCTGTGTTCACCCTGCAAAAACAGCCTATCCAAGGTGTACCCCACCTCTCAATATATGACAACTGGGATATGCTCCAGCCCCCCCACGTACCTGAACTGGTCAATCAAAAGAAAATGGATAAATGAGTGGATGGAAGGACTGTAATTAAGCATGGCAAGGAAATCCATTTAAAACAACTACATGTTTTAATAATGTGTTGATATCTTGGCCAGCTTATATACAACAAATTGTATATTGCCTTATCTATATTGTGGGTCATCCTAGCATAACTGATGCTTTAAGTATACATGAGTCACTTCAAGTTGTACTTCCTACACCTTTGTTTCAGATAGAAATTACTGATACCATATGGCTTATAGTTATTAATACTAATATCACAAATGAGTTATTATAGTGCTTTACATTTGAGTGAATCAACAATTATACTCAATACTATAATATATATATATATATTTTGTAATGTGCAATGATTTACAGAGATAACTTTAACTTTTAGAACTTTGAATTATAGTATGGTGGGGTTTTTAAATTTGTTTTATTGTATCAAACCTTTAATGTATGACTTTATTATTTTCATGGAAATCTCTGAGAACTTCTGTCTGCCTGACCTGCCTCTGCACAAAGCTGTCTGATTGACATCTCGAGCCTGCTGTCATTTCAGCACCAGCTCGAGCGGAGAGCGCCCTTCTTGCATCTGCGCGCGCGCACATCGCCCAACAGCCAAGCAGTGAGCAAACTGTTTCCACTGAGCGTCCTAGGAATGAGTGACACACTTTATCCACCCCAGAAAAAAAATTCTATAAAAAACAAGCTCACCATGGCTACAGAAAGAGAAGTGGGCCTGTCTGACTGGGCCTGTGTGTCTAATCTTAGCGGAAGGAAACGAGGAAATACCCAGCGCTCTTTGCCTTCTCTCCCTCTTCTCTCGACTATGTCCTTCCACAGTCTTGAGCACTGAGGCCCGTGTGTCAGCAGTTACACATTTTCGACCAACAATCAACCACCTCGTTGTGTGTCGCGGCAGCTTCGGTTTTGTCGTTATCTGCAGCAGCTCAGTTTGTGCCACCTACCTTCTCTTTGGCTTCAACAGTCGGGATGGACGGGAGCAAGCCGTTGATGCTGTGCCTCCTTATCCTCTTCCTGCCTCCGCCGCTTATTAAACCGTTGTAGAAGTAAAGTACGGCGCCACCCGTTGCAACGCAAACCCCGGCTACCAGACACCTCCAGGTCCTTCTTCCATTGGCCGTCTGCCCACCGACCAGCTCGTTTCTTGTCGCCGACCAGAGGTTGAGCTTGCCGGCCAGTGCTGCCACTCTGCGGAAAGCAGCCATTGCTGCCGTGGTATTAGCTTCTGCTTGGTTGCTGTGATTGTAACTTTGAGGGCAGCTCAAAAGTATCGCGTTTCCCTGATTTCATCGCGAGATTTACGGCCTTTCTGTTCTTGGCATGACAGAGAACAAAGTCCCGCACAGCGCGGAGGATTTGATGCTTCGCTGAGTGATTAATTTTAACCAAGGTCAATTATAAACACAGAGAGATAAACTATTATGAAGCTAAACTCAAGCTTTTCCAGTTCGCATAAAAGAGGCCATATTAACAGCCTACACCAAAATCAAAAATACTGAATATTAAATTAAAATGCATGTGAAATATAGTGAAATATATATAGACAGCTCTATTTTCTAAACGGATTAGTGCGTCTGAAAAGTGGCATTGAATAAAGTAGAACATATATGCGTTTTCTCATTTAGAAGTTAGGCCTGCAATAACCTAATAGAAGTATATAACGACTACTATGAAGTATTTTAAAAATGTGCAAAGACAGTTGTACTACTTCATAAGGTACTGGCAGCTGGCAGACTAACTGTGACACACATGGAAAGAATAAGAAAACGACTCAGTAAAACATATTCCACGGTATCATCTTAAGTATCTTGTCAGGTGAGCATGGGCACATCTTGAAATAAATTAAAGAGATTGTATTTTTTTTTTGGGGGGGGGGGGTGTCTCTAAATGAGTAATGATATTATTGATATCGATATTTGTCACTTTGCCTTTGTCATTCACGAAGGGTCAATGTAGTGTCGAATTTCCAGTTGTAAGTGATGGATCAAAGGAGCCAAAAGAGCAGATATCAAACAAATATCAAAGATGAACTCTTCATTTAAGTCCTCACATGTAGGGCTAATGTTAACCTGATGGGGCTTTTCTGATGACTTTGATGCTAAAACAATAAAGGGAAGAAGTCTAATAGATGGCCTGTCACCTGTTCACACATGAAGCTCAGTGGATCACTTGGCCCATAAGCTGAAAACAGATCAAACAATGTCTAAAACCTCTTGATAGAAATCAACCATTTAAAAGACTGAGTATTGATATTAAACGCTTCAATTATTGCTTTGATTTCTATTTTCTTCACAACCCAAACATCATTAATGTAGCATGGTGACTAATCCTAATTAAGTTTCCTGGTTTACTGGTTGCATTTTTTTTTATGAAACTGCAATTTGAAAAGCTGTAAAATGTCTCCAAATCTTTATTCAACTTTAATTACTTTGACACAAAAAATTCAATATTTTGCTGGATCACAACAATAGAGGTATTCATAGGGGTTCAGGTACAAAGTACCATATCTGCATGCAGGACACTTATTTTTAATCTATCTATACACGAAAGATTGCAGAAATATGATTTTCTTTTTTTTTCTCCTGCATTTTCTGACTGACCTATGAAGATTAAAATATGATGAAATTAAAGTCTGCACTTTCATGGGGCCCTCTGAATCGTGTCCTGGGTTCGCTAGACCCTAGTTTGGAGACCACTTGCATTAATAACCTCTAGGCTACTTATTCAGTTATTCCATTATCCAGGCATTCGATTAGGTTGTGATTTCTTTGTGTGTGTATTGTGTGTGTGTGTGGGTGAGGGGTTAGAGGTGGGGGTATAACCCTAGGGACCTCCTCATCATCATCGTCACCCTCCTCCTCCATGACAGCTATGTTCCTATATGCTTGGCTTCCCTCCATGTCCCACTTGCAGCGTTGTAAAAGAAAACCTACGCTGGAGCGAATCATGTGGTCCTGGGAACTGATCACTTGCGCCTTGTGTGAACAGTTCCCAGGACGATGTGGCGTAGTAGTTGACGTCTTCACTGAGGCCAAATCGATATCCAATACTAGACCAGATCGGCCTGAGGCGATTACGATTGATTCTGTCGCCCTTTAAAAAAAAGTTCTTTTTGTGCTGGTCATAAATACTAATGAACCGAGGGAAAGAGGGAGAAGGACACGCGCCACACACATAGATGCCCTCTAACTTGTCTGTCACACACACGTGTGCAAAGGCAGTGCAGAAAACTGGCGTCATAACAAACATTTTGTACTTAATAAGTATGTCAGGTCCTGCAGCGTGACAAGTAGACCCGTGTTATTGGTGTGGGTATATGACTTTTTGTCATGCTGCAGGACCTGACATGAGTACAAAATGACCCGAGTATGGCACAGCAACACCTCTGGACCTTCAACTCATTTATCAACGGGACTCCCAGGGGAAGGGGAGGCAGTGTGAGCGCGTGCCTTTGTGTGCACGACCATGTGTCTGTATTGCTGCCCCAATCAATGCCATGATCTGGAACACAAGACCATGCTTCGTGCCCTTGGTTTAAATAAAATCACAGTCTGTATTAGAGGATAAATAGTGTTGAGAAATTCAGAGCTAAATAAATGACGTCGCACCATAAAAATTAAGAAAGGACTGTTTAGCCGGTGTTTCGAAAAAGCGTCTTTTTGGAATCTGGCAATCCACAGGCTTTTATTACCAAACCGCCATGATCACGGTCAACTTCAGTATAGTAGACTGATATTTTACATTAATCTGATATACTCAGTATAACGTTTCCCAAACTTATAACCACTGGAGCGTGTTCATTGTTATGATCACTAAAATATTTGTTTCCACAACAAACTCCGTTTTTCTCTCTCAAAATAGCACTTATTTTATACACCCCCCCTCCCCCCCAAGTCCTTCAGTGTCAAGTGTCGGGGTATTTTCTAAGCGTGTGGTTCAAACAGGTATATTCCCGTTCCTGTCTTCTGGTTGTTATTGCCTGATCCCCTTACAAGATCCCTGCGCTTTGAAGCCTCTGTTTCTTTGATTCGTCTCGTAAGACCACAATTAAGGGTATATATGAGCTCCAGTGTTGTTCAAAGCATCGTGGAAAGATCAATGAAAGGATTGACAGTCAAGTGATGTCGTTTGCACAGGTGTGTGTGGGTGCATGTGTACGGCTGTGTGTGTCTGTGTGTGCGGGTGCTGTAAATGTGCGGCTGGGTTACATAAAACAGGAGCAATAAATCAACAGTCGAGTGCGAAAATTACGCAAATGGGGGCTTTCCTCGCCCCTCTATCTCTCTGCACCTGAGCCATTTCGAAATGGGGGCACTGAGATGTAAAGCATTTAAGATAATGGCAACATCACTTTCATGCCTATTTGACATGCACACGCTGTTTCTTTCTCTCCACAACTATTTCACACCCAAGTTGCAGAGACGCGCGCTCCGCAGCAACTCTTATAAACACCTGTACAGTTTAATCTGTTTAATCTGCTGCTGAAGTGTCCACGAGCAAAATGACATTTTGTCCGTTTGTGAGTTAGGGAAACATTCATGTAGCTTGAGGGGAAGTAAGGGAAAATACGCCTGTCATGCTAATTTTTATTAGTGGTTATTAATTTTCCTCTCACGTGCCCCTGCGCTAAGACTGAACATCAAAGGTGAGACGGGAGAATAGCGAGAACAAAAATTAGCCATAAAGAGAGGGGATCGGGCCATATTTGCATAAAAGGCAACCTGGGGTTAATAGGAGGCAGTGCGCTATAAATGTGGAGTGGTTTTCACTGGTTTCACTGCGCTACACACTGCTGCTGGGGGAGGTATCACTTGAGAGAAGAAATAAAAGGCTGAAGTGAATTTAGCGAGAGAGAGCAAGAGAGCAAGAGAGGGGGGTGAGAAAGAGAGTGAGAGAGAGAGGAAAACCCTGGTGCGCACAGGAGCAAAGGGGGAGTATCCCGAGTTGAAGAGGAGAGAATAGAAGAGAGGAAAGAAGGATAAATAGCAGAAGAGAGGAGACGGGGGACACACGCTGCAGCAAGCGGGGATGCGTAATCATCCAACATCAAGATAACGCAGGAGTTTAATCTCAATTAGATGCCAGTCTGATCACAGGGATTTTCTCTGCACGCACGGTCAACTTTTTCCCTTTCTTCGCCTTTCGGCTTGACCTTCGCTCACTTGCTCATATAGAGGCTCTCTACTCATCACTTGGAACTCGACTTGGAGCTCCTACGCTGCAAACAGGATCTGGTGTGTCATCTGTGATGGGGGCAGCGGCCGAGGTTGGGAGCTTCGCCAACGGATTTTTGGACAGCTTTGGTGCCGTTCCGGCTCCCGTTGGCTCTCAGTTTATTCTCACCCCTGCCGGGGCGGTGGACTACAATTCGGCGACCGGATTGATAATGGGGGGACATGGACAACAGCAAGAGCACCTAATGTCTGCGGAGAGGCTGTCCCGGAGCCTGGCGGACCTCAGCCATCTGAAGGGGATTCTGAGGCGGAGGCAGCTGTACTGCAGGACCGGGTTCCACCTGGAGATTCATCCTGACGGCACCGTGCAGGGCACCAGGAAAGACCACAGCAGATTCGGTACAGAGCCTGTGAATTCTGGCAGCACAAGTAGTAGTAAGAGCATAGAAAAGCTATTTTGAATTTTCAGACTGATTGACACACTGTCAGGTATCATTGTGGTGGAGACGCTGACAGACTCACATACAAACAGAATCTAAACAGGGGAGGAAATAGTGATAATCAGCATACAGCAGCGAAAAGCTTACTGGATTATATACCAAATAATATATAAAATACAGGTGGCCATGAGTTATAACAGAGGACTTATAACTCATACGGGAAAATAGCTGCATCACTCCTACAGTCACAGCCGTCGTGACTTGAAATACCCATGCCAATACAGGCTGCTTTAATCAAACGCTAATCATGAATGCAGCCGCTATTTCCAGGTGGAACAACATTTGAGATATTTTATGTTTGCACATTTTTACCACGTTTCCTCTTTCAGATTAGATTGGACGCTTTTACAAACTTATCTCCAGCTATCAAGATAAAAAGCTGCAGGTTGCGGCACATCAAAAGTAGATTATTTATCGCTGCAAGGTTGTAGCGCCTCTGGTACTTGATTCATTTCATTTGAGATTTGGTTGTAACCTCATACCAGAAACCACTCTAACCTAACTTGTCAGACATACTCTACGAATTTGTATGGAGAACAGACACAATTTAGTAAACTGAAACGTTGTCAGCAAGACTAGTGCTCTATTATACCAAATATGAATTGCTATTTAATATTT